TTTAAAAATTAAAAAAATATTTTAAAAATATTTTATTTTATTTTTTTTGTAATATTTTATTAAAATAATATAAGTTTAAAATATTTTTTATTTTTAAAAAATAAAATGAATAAATATTAACTTCTTATAAATAATAATAATAATTTATTATTAAATATTAAATATTAACTATTAATTATATCAAAATAGTTAATTCAAAAACTATATAATATAGATCCTCACAATTTGACTTAATAGTTAATAAAAATCATTTCTTGTGAGTTGTATCTTTAAATCCCATAATATTTCCTTTCTCTAGTCCTCATATGCCTAAGATATGTACTAATTACTTACGGAGGAAAAAAAAAAGGGTATAAAATGGGCTAACAAAGAAACTTTGGTATTACTTTCCATTTCATTTTAATTTACAATTTCTAAGTTCCCACACTATTTTTGTAATCTTTTGCTTCTTCAACGGTTTTGTTTTTATTTATTTATGGAAGCACCCTGCACAGCCTGATAAACCTGATTTATAATTACAAAGGAAAAAAAGTTTATAGAATATTATACATGAAATTGTCCCTATCAATTTTGGAAGTTTCTAAGGGTAATCTTTCTGGGATGAGTAACGGAAGGAGACGGAAGGAATTTTCTGCTCCAAAGTCTGCAAGATTTGAGTAGCGGAGGGCCTAAGAGTCGGAGACTGTTGAATGCAACCTGCGGCGATGGAAAGCATGCTCCTGGCTTCTTCCAGGTTGAATTCTCCGGCCAGTCGTGGGTCTACCAGTTCTGCTATTTTCTCTTCTGCTACGTGTTCGGAAATGTTCCGTAAATTAGGTGCAAGGATCGACGTTAATTGCTGTCCTTTTTCCGGGGAAAAGGCCGGCTTTCCGGTGACAAGTTCCAAAATTATGACTCCCAAACCGTAAACGTCGTTCTTCTTTGAGGCAATTCCGGTTCTCAAGTAATAGGGATCGGTATAACCCGGAGATCCAATCATTACCGGCTTGCTCCGGTGGTAAGAACCAGAAGACGACGTCGGCGGAAGCACCGTCGCCGAAAACCCCATTTTGGCCGAACCAAAATCACAGAGCTTGCAATTCAGATGTTCGTCCAGCAAAATATTCGAAGCTTTAATGTCGCCATGAACTATCTGGAGAGTACACTTTTCGTGGAGGTATTCAGTCGCCTGGGCAAGCTGGAAAGCTATTACCGTCCGGCGACTCCATGGAAGCACCGATTCACTGTCGTGCAGCTTCTCCTGCAAGTTTCCACTGGGGACATACTCGAACACCATGGCTCCTTCCTCTGTACACAACAAAAACAAGACTTTGATTAATTAATGGCATCTTTTTAAAAAGTAAAAAGAAAAAGAAAAAAGAAAAAAATCGATTAAGGGATTCTCACGCAACCCACTACCGACTACTCACCTTTATCGTCACAGTAGCCAAGAAGCTTCACGATGTTTCCATGGCTGATGCGGCGGAGGATGTCCAATTCCTGCTTGAACACCTGGTTGAGACGGTCACAATTGACATGGACCTTCACTGCTCCTTGATGGGAACCGGACAAGTTAGCCAAATAGACATTACTGAACCCACCTGACCCAATCACGCGGGCGAAATCCATCGTCACATGCTTTATCTCCTCCCAACTGTACTTCCTCGCAGACCCACCGTAATCACCGCCGCAATGATCCTTCACCTTAGAGTTAGAATCACCAACCTCCGCATCGATTGATTCCACTTGATTCCCTGCCCTGCTTTTTCTCTGTTTCTTCAACCTGAGAAATCTGAACAAAAACCCCATACCAGACAACAAAGTGAGAAGCAATACAAGTGAAACACTGATACCGAGCGCAATCTGAAGTTGACCCCCTCGTGGGGTGACTGTTAAAGGGGGTGTCGGTGGATCGACGGAAGCGACGCAGAAGGTGAAAGGAGAAGAAATTAATAATAAACAAATGGGAGGGATGGGCCAGCAACGGCGATTCCAACAGACAAAGAGACCACCGACTGTGCCTCTGGTGATGGGCACATCGAAAACAGATACCCCTTTTATGCTGCTAGATTTGTCTGAGGTTACCATGGGGGCAGAATCGGACAGAGATGAATCTATCTCCGATCTGAACAGAGAAGAAGAGAGGAAGGCTCCAATCCCTCCGACCGCTTTGACTTCAACACCCGACGCAAATGGTTTTGGAGGACAAAAGGCATGGAAGTTGGACTGTTTGTTCTTTTTGTTTATTCATTTTATTTTATTTTGGTATTGCAGATGGAGGCGTGCTAACAAGAACACGGAGAGAGAGAGAGAGAAGAGGGTTGGGAAAATTAGTTACGGAAAACTATACGATTAAGAGTTACTCATGAATCCATTATTGATTTTTTATTGGATAATTGCATGGGTCGTCCTTAATCTTTTGAAAATGGCTATTAAATTGGATTAAGTATTTCATGGTAGCAGATTTATATGTTTACAGGTAGCAGATTTTTTTTTTTTTAATATCTTAATTACATAATAAGACGTAACCATTTATCATCCATTTTCTTACCCTATCTGCATATCCCAATCCGCAGACTATGCAACTCGAATTCAGGATCTCTTACTTCCAGCAAAAGGAAATGACTATTGAATTATTCAGGTTGTTGGCTTTACAAGTAGTAGATTGATATTTGAAACCTGTAGTATTACTGTAGTAAAAAAAAGGGGGGGTTGTATTAACTTTCAGCCAAAAAAGAAAATCAGTAGTATTAATTTAGATTTTGATTAATATAATTGTGGTTTTCAATTTTTAAAATTGGTTTTAAAAAAAATTAAAAATCTTAAAATAAAATTAAATTGTTTCATAAACTAATTAAATTAAATTTGGAGTTTTTGGTATTTATTTTAAAACTTTAAACCCAATAAGTTGACAAATTTAATTTTTTTAATTTAGTTTTTAATTGTTTATTTTGATTATTTGAATTTCAAAAACTAAAATTAAAAACTCAAAACTATAACTATACTAAATAGAACCTTAAATAGTCTTTTGTTTTGAATTTCTAACAACTTTTTTTATTATCATTTTCTTGAAAAAATTCTTTTTATTTTTCTTTTTGGATTTCATATTCATTTTAAAAAGTGATACCAAATGGTAGTTTAGTATCTAAAATTTAATAAATTCAAGGAGTGGTTTATTGTCACACCTTAAAATTTTTGTACTCCACACTAAATATATATTTTTAACTCTTTTACCTATGAGTAAATGAAAATATGTAAAAATTGTAGGGATTTAGTAAGTCGTTAGTGTTTTCCTAAAAATGTTCAATGTAACTCTCAATTAGTGGTGGTGATTGGTATGGTAGAACTTGCCTTTTTACTAAAAAAAAAGTTGTGAAAATTGTAATTTTTTTAGGAACTCATTAATTAAAGGGATATTATAAGAGTAAACTGTAAAAATATAACATTTGTACCAATGGTTTGATAGTTTGAGTAGAAAGAATTTAGTTTCTCTTAAATAAAATTCTTTTTAAACAAAATTTTAAATTTTAGTCTCACAAATGAAAAAATAAACGTTAAAAAAGTTTCTTTATTTATGAGATTCAACTTGAGTCAATTTTAAATTAATCAAAATTTAATATAATTTCTGAATACCAGAAAGTTCAGTAAAAAAAACAAAGAAGTGTAGTGTTTATGGTGATACTAACACTTTTAAGGCAATGGTAATAACCCCACTTTCTTTTGGGATGCACATGTTATGGTTTCAAAATTTAAGGACATCATTAAAAAAAACCAAGAAACGTTAAGGGCAATCAAGTACTATTAAATTGGATTAATTAAGTATTTCAATCAAATTATGAATGGCAGATTGACGGTCCCTGTCCAGTCCCCTTTACCACGTGCCATTTCTTTAATGACCACTTCTTAGACTTAAACACCGAATCCCATTTTTCCATAATAAAGTTTTCATTTTTATTGTATACTCTTTTTTTCTTATTGTGTACTAGTACATGCGTACCGAGCATGAGCGGAAAAAAATAAAAAATTGTTAGAGGAACAAAATAAATTAAAATTTTAACAACTGAAAATTGGATTAAGTTTTTTGTGTGAACATAACGTATCTCCTTTTTATGGAAAAAAATTAAGGTATCTTTTGACTTCTAGTATTATTGAAAATTATAGAAACCAACAATAGAAAATTAAAAATAAAAATTCAATTTTGATGATAAAAAATAAAAATCCAATTTATTGTTTTTAAAAATTTTCACTTTTTAGTATCTAAAGTGATATGAGTCTTTATAAACAAAATTTATAAATCCAGGTTTATCACTTAATGACATGCATATATTTTATTTTCCTACAGATATGTAGATGAAAAGAAAAAAACCAAAACACGGGATGGAAGTCTCCATTTCTAGAAAGCCAGCGGTTTCAGCGTTCTCTACTTCCATGATTTTCATATGGGGCAATTAAGGTTATGGATTAATAAAAGTTTAAGGTCAATGAAATATAAAACATTATTTTTAAAAATATTAATTTTGTTTAATTTAATTATTTTTTAAAAATAATCATAATT